GGGGGGGGGGGAGGGAGGGGGCGAAGCCTCTTTCTTTCTCCAAGCTGTTCCACATCTATTCGCCCATTTCACTTGCCACATCACTTCCGGATCGGTCCTCAGTTTCTGCTGCAGACCGAGTAGGGCTTCCACCCCCACCTCTCTGTTTTCCTGCCCTCCCCCCCCTCCCCCCCCCCCCCCCCCCCCCCCCGCCACTCCACTCGCCCCTTCATCATCTGGTTGCTGGGAACTTGAGCCCAGCATACCCACGCCCCTCCCCCGGCTGCTCACGGCGACTGACAATCCCCCCCCCCTCGCGTTGAGCCCTTCCTCCTCCCGCCCCCACTCGATCGCCTCGGGCAAGTCAACTTTGCCTCGCCTGCAAAGCCGCTGCTTCCACGCTCGGCGCCGTCTAAGACCCAAGCAGGCGAGTGGCAATACAAAGGCGCCGTTCCTGCCCTCCCCCGCTCACCCCCGCGGCTGCTGCCGGCTGTCTCTGAGCAGCGTGCATGCTCTGATCTGCGCTCGCTTCTTCGTTTCAGCCAGGGAGAGGGCGAGAGCGAACCCAGGGAGGCAGAAACGCCAGCCGCCCCGTCGAAGAGCCATGGCCGAGAAGAGGCAGGCGGCAGGCAAGCCCCACGAGGAAGAGGAGGAAATGCCCGCCTTCTTCAAAAACCTGGGCTCCGGCAGCCCCAAGCCCCGGCAGAAATTCTGTGGCATGTTCTGCCCGGTGGAAGGCTCCTTGGAGAACAAGACCATCGACTTCGACTCCCTTTCCGTGGGACGTGGCTCGTCGGGCAGGATCGTGGCCAAGCAGAAGGACGTGGCCCACCTGGGGTCGGAGGGTCCCTCTCTCGGCTCCTGGCAGAGCAGGAAGGGAGGGGAACCTTCTGCCGAGTTTGGGAGGAAGGTGGAAATCCGGAGGGCAACGGGAAAGGAGGCGTTGCAGAACCTGAACGACAAGGTGAGCAGGGGCGGGTAGGTGGGTCCAAGCACGCGGACCCGGGCGCTGTCGGATCGGGCTTGATCTCTCACAGGCTTGGCAGACTGACCGGGGCGGACAAAAACTGCCGGGCGGCAATCCGTATGGGCAGATGGTATGAGGGCTGCTCTGCTCTTTAGGGGATGAGGGAGGGATAAGTAGGTGTGGAAACTCCTCGGCTCCCTCCTCATGTTTTGTTCATCGGGCATTTCCTTGGGCTTTGGGCATATTTCAACCAGTGCTGTAATAGTGACTGCCACACCCTTCTGATGCAGGGCCAAGATTGTAGACATTCACTAGACAAAGGCACTCCCTGGCAAGAGGGGGCAGGGGAGAGAAATAAAAGTACTATACTTTTTATTATAGCTCTCTCCTGGGCCATGAACCTTCACTTGCCTACTCTGGAGCACTCCTGGGGATGAGATTGAACTCCTCCAGGTGTAAAACACGTTGAAAAATGGTACTGTGAGAACTTGAATCAAGGAGGGATCCTCCATCAGATCAATACTGAATCAGAGAAAGTCCGGACTGGAGTGCTCTTGGGCCAACTAGTCTACTCTACAATGTATTGTTACCCAAGAAAGTTCCAAAAACTTGGAACTGGTTCTGGTCTTGCCTCTGCTGTGGGCTCCCTGTTCTCCAGATCAAGAAAGGGTTCTTGCTGTTTTCCTTAGAAAGCAAAGCCCAAGCATCTCAGCAGCCAGATGCAGTTCTGAACCACCTGTTGGGATGGATCCTTGGAAGGAGGATGAGCATGGGAAATTGGCATGCTCTGAGTCGGAGCACCGGTGCATCAGCTCCATACTGCCTACAAGAGGTTCCCTAACCAGTGCCCACCAGAGACATTGGACTGCATGACTGTAGGGTGGGGGAAGTCTGGCTGGCAAAGATGCCACATGGTGACAGACGGGTGTGCTTACTAGCCACATCTGGAAACAATGGCGATCTAGCCTAGAACGTTCAAGGCGCATGTGTCCAGAGTCTGAGCCATGGCCTATCTGTGACGAAGAGGCCATTCCATTTTCTGTGCACTCATGTCATGGCTGGCCCTCGAGCGAAGCTCACACGCTGAATCTGAATCCACAAGGTGATGTGGCTTCAAAATCTGGGCTACTTTGGGCTGCATAGCTAGAAGTATCTCTTACACATCACATGAAGTACTAGCTCCCCTTTACTTTGCTCTGGTTAGGCTTCATCATGAGAAAGGCATCCAGTGGTGGGCATCACAGTTCAAGAATGATGCAGGCAAACTGGAAAATGTTCAGAGGAGGGCAACAGGGGTGATTCCAGGAGTGGAATCAAAGGAGGAGAGATGGAAAGAACTGGGTATGTTTAGCTTGGAGAACAGAAGACCGAGGCGAGATAGGGTAGCACTGTGCAAGTACCTGAAAGGAGGTAATGCAGAGGAGAGACACAATCCTTCTTGATCATCCCAGAGCACAGGGCACAGGATAATGGCCTGAAGTTACAGGAAGTTAGGTTCTGGCTAATCATCTGGAAGAACTTCCAGTACAACGATGGAACTCATTACTGAGGGGAAGTTATGGGTTCTCCCACCCTGAAGGCATTCAAAATGGAACTGGACAGGCATCAGATAGGAATACTTTCACTGAGCAGGAGTTGGGCCCGATGGCCTTATTGCCCCTTTCCAATGCTACTATTCTGTGCTTCCCTCTGATTTCAGGCTATTGATTTCAATGGGGTTTAGTGTGCTTACCTTGGATAGAATGGCTGGATAGAATAGTCCATGGGAGATAATTAGTAGAGACTGGTGGCTCCTATTTCAGGTGCGGGGCAGTGTATCCACTCTGGGCTTTAGCCTGAACTTTGAAGGAACTATCGATGATGCTGAACCTTATTCCTCTCCCCAAATAGGTTCATCACCCTGGATAGCTCCATTAAAGATGAAACCCAGAGTGAATGTTGGAGAAACCAGCCCCTGCTGGCAGACTTGGTCCCAAACATGGGAAAGCAGAGCACAGAGATATCTTGGCCCCTTTGGTGAAAATGGTGCGTCCACCTTCAGATGCAGACCTTTAAAGGCACTGCTCATGTTGTCGTCCGGTCGCAGAGTCACGCCTGACTCCTTGCGACCCCATGGACAACATTCCTCCAGGTTCTCCTGTCCTCCCCCATAGCCCACACCCGCCTCTCCAAGTGACCCCATCCAGCCCCCTCAGCCTCTGCCATCCCCTTCTTTTGCCTTCAAGCACTACTCATAACCAAAAAAAAACCAAAAAGTCTTGCATTTATCAGCACATTTTGGTCCCTCTTGTATGAAGGTTACCTGTGCTATTAGCAGCACCATCAGCTCCAGGTCCTGTCCTCTCCAGAGGACAACAGCAGTTTGCATCAAAAAAATCAGGGCCAGCCCTCCCATTAGGCAGAATCAAGGGTCACATCTCACACCTGACTCTGAGTGACATGAAAGGACAGCAGATTATTCATGATACTGGTGGGGTTTCTCCTTCAGGTGCCAAAATAACAGCCAGCCTCTGGTACAGTGTTCCTGCGCTGGGGTGAGGATTTGCTGGTAGGACACAAAAATGTTATCCTTGGGGAGAACAAAAGTCAGAGAGAAGATGGATAGATACCCCTCTTTCCCCAACCCCACCCCAATAACAACAGAATTTCAGGGAATTTGATTAGCAAGAGACTCAGGGCAAACAAAAGCCATACACAGGAGTTCACAATCAGACTAAAAGCAGGGATGGGATGTGGACATCTCTGTAAGTCCTCTCCACATGCGCGCGCACACACACACACACACACCCTCTAGCATTCCCATTTTGTGCAGGGTGGACTCAACGGGCAGGTCCTATTTGTGTTGCAGCCTCTGTCTGATTGGAAACCATGCTTTATCTTCTTTTTTATTATTATTTATGAAATTTATTTTATTCTAAAAATCAACAGAATAAAGGCAACAGCAAGAAGAGCACACATAATAAATCAAGATCACCAGACAAAGGAATTCACAAATTATAACTTTATTCTATAATGGATATACGTATGAATCATCTACAGCAAAATGCCTTAAGCACAAACTCATTAGCTAATGAAAGAGTAAGGTACAATTAACACCAGACATAAAGGAAGTGCATGTGTGTGCTGTTTTATGTGTATTAGACCGGAAAAAAAATAAGGCAACTACTTGGTTGGAATTTAATCAGGAGTTTGAAGAGCTTCAGCCTCGGATATAACAGGAAACCTTTAAAGTTAGGATTCCTTGTTTGCTGCACTTGCTGTGTAAGCTTAGATAAAGCCAGTCTCCCAAATTTTGTAAACTCACAGCTTTTTAGTTGGTTACTTAGTAGACTTCTAGTTACAAGGCATATATAACTTTGCAACTGTATATACATTTGCTTAAGAAGGTGCTGTATATACATTCCATGCTGGGCAGAAATTTCTCTTTGCTTCCAGGCGGATGCTCATCAGAGCCTTCTTCAGGCCTCCAAACTTAGAGTAACAGGGGATGTGGACATGGGAGTTGGTCAACTGTCCCATTTGTCATCCTCTGAGGCTTGGGAAAGCTGTATGGTGGATCAAAGGCAGTATGGTGGATCAAAGCAGGAAGAAAATGAGATCTTGGCCAGCCCCAAGTGGGTCCTGCCTAGAGCTCTTTCCTGCTAAGACAGCAGGAGGATGCTGTCTCAGCAGAAAACTGAAGCCAACGGGAGGTCTGCCAGCGCCACCACTCCTGGAGAAACTCCCCGGACTCCTAATGAAGCCTTCACAGGCTGAGAGGTTGTGAAGATAGACATTTTGCTGGGGGCTCATCCTGGGGGCTCATCCTGTCAGCCAAAGCATGACTGGGAGTAGCTAAATAAGGCACTGACTCTCCTTCCTAGGCATTAGCCTTGCCTCATCACTGCCACAACCCTTGGCTGTGCACCAGAAGGCCCAAGGCCTGAAATCACGACAGGAACTCCCACGTCTCGTGTGCACCCAAGCCCTCGCCCACCTTCGAAAGGGATAAGACAACTTCAAGGAGGTCTTTCAATGATCTCCCATCAGCCCACTGAACCACAGTAACCTGAACAGCCAGAGGTAGCAAAGCCAAGCTCTGTAGGAGGGATGCCACCTTCGTGCTGACAGCTTCCTAGAAGTATCTGGTTGGCCTTTGTGGAGCAGTGGCATGTAGGGCTGGATCAGTCTTAGCCTGGTGCCTTCCAGATGTGCTGGATGACAACCCTCCAGCTGGATTGGAGAAGGCTAGACAGAACCTTGGCTTTATCCAGTAGGGCTGTTCTCATGTTCTGAATCAGACATTGGTCACTTTTGAACATTTCATTTGCTGCCCAGACAGGATCATTCCTAACCCATTTGGTCTAAAATTAGGATTCCCCAGGCAATCAGCTGAAATGTTGGTCATGGCAAATAGAGCAGCAAAGGCATAGCTGGATCACCATGTTTATCTCACATTTTCTCTACTGTTTCTTCCCCACCTATGCTAATCACCACATAATGTAGCAAGCCTTTCTTTTTAACAAGCTTACTTTTGAAGAAATCTCTGGCTGTGTAATGTTGTTCTCTAAGAGCAGCTTATGATGCCTCAAACAAACATCTCTGGGATGTAAGCCAGAGGATATTGCAACTCCCTGCACTTTCATTTGCCATTGAAGAGCTCACATTTGCTGCTTTGAAGATAGAGGAGTTGACCCAACACCTAGCTAACTTCCAGTTTCAAAGATGAAAGTGCCTTTTGATGCTATTCTCCTGATTCAGCAGTTCCAGCCTCCTTACTAGAGCGACAGCCCAGGAGGTCTGCTGATGCACCACTGCTGTAGGTATTCCGCAATGGAGTCCTCTGAGGATCTGAATTTAAGGACGTTTTGGCAGCCATAATTTCTGCTAGGGATGTGAGAGGACTCTAAAAGGGGAATGAAAATCTGATGCATTTTCTTGACTCAGCCCTACAGAATCTGTTCTATCAAGCTTGGGCTGGTGCTGATCCAATCTATTGTAAGCCAAGTCAGGACAAG